CCAGGGGTATGAAGCTATTGTCTGAGTAACTGTTTTATCTCACATCTGTCCAAGGCTTAAAATGCCCAAAACATGAAGCTACTATCTGAGTAACTGTTTTATCTCACATCTGTCAAAGGCTCAAAATGCCCAGGGCATGAAGCTACTGACTGAGTAACTGTTTTAACTCACATCTGTCCAAGGCTCAAAATGCCTAAGACATGAAGATACTGACTAACTGTTTTATCTCACATCTGTCCAAGGCTCAAAGTGCCCAAGACATGAAGCTACTGACTAACTGTTTTATCTCACATCTGTCCAAGGCTCAAAGTGCCCAAGACATGAAGCTACTGACTAACTGTTTTATCTACCATCTTTCCTCGGCTCAAAATCTCCAAGACATGAATTTACTGTCTGAGTAACTGTTTTATCTCACATATGTCCAAGGCTCAAAATGGCCAAGACATGAAGCTACAGACTGAGTGACTGTTTTATCTCACATATTTCGGAGGCTCAAAATTACCAGGGTGGAAAGCTACTGACTAAGTAACTGTTTTATCTCACATATTTCGGAGGCTCAAAATTACCAGGGTGGAAAGCTACTGACTAAGTAACTGTTTTATCTCACATATTTCGGAGGCTCAAAATTACCAGGGTGGAAAGCTACTGACTAAGTAACTGTTTTATCTCACATCTGTTCAAGGCTCAAAATGCCCAAGTCATGAAGCTACTGTCTGAGTAACTGTTTTATCTCACATCTGTCCAGGGCTCAAAATGCCCAGGGCATGAAGCTACTGGCTTAGTAACTGTTTTAACTCACATATATCTGAGGCTCAAAATGCACAGGTCAAGAAGCTACTATCTGAGTAATTATTTTATCTCACATCTGTCCAAGGTTCAAAATGTCCACGGCATGAATCTACTGTCTGAGTAACTGTTTTATCTCACATCTGTCCAAGGCTCAAAATGCCAAAGACATGAGGCTACTGACTGAGTAACTGTTTTATATCACATCTGTCCAAGGCTTAAAATGCCCAAGACATGAAGATACTGACTGAGTAACTGTTTTATCTCCCATCTGTCCTAGGCTTAAAATGCCCAAGACACGAAGCTACTGACTGAGTAAATGTTTTATCTCACGTCTGTCCAAGGCTCAAAATGCCCAGGGCATGAAGCTACTGGCTTAGTAACTGTTTTATCTCACATCTGTCCAAGGCTCAAAATGCCCAAAATATTAAGCTACTGACTTAGTAACTGTTTTATCTCACATCTGTTCAAGGCTCAAAATGCCCAGGGCAAGAAGCTACTATCTAAGTAACTATTTTATCTCACATCTATCCAAGGCTCAAAATGCTCATGGCAAGAAGCTACTATCTGAGTAACCATTTTATCTCACATCTATCCAAGGCTCAAAATGCTCATGGCATGAATCTACTGTCTGAGTAACTGTTTTATCTCACATATGTCCAAGGCTAAAAATGCCCAGTGCATGAAGCTACAGCTGAGTAACTGTTTTATATCACATCTGTCTGAGGCTCAAAATGCCCAGGGTAAGAAGCTACTGTCTGAGTAACTGTTTTATCTCACATTTGTCAAAGGTTCAAAATGCCCAAAACATGAAGCTACTGACTGAGTAACTGTTTACTAAAGAGAGAAATTTTTATTTAAAGGATGGCTGTTGGGTTTTATTTAACAATATAAAGTTTGTTGTAACTTAATTTATTAATGCCTTCCACAGAAACAAGTTTGGGGTTTCACAATATTTTCAATTTAATTTTTGAAAGCAAACATACAAGAACAAATTATTCATGTTTTGTGTACATATTATTTTATTAGCAAAAAAATTCTGTATGATTAGCCCTTGGCTAGTGACCTCTTATAGTCATTACAATGAATGAACTAATGGTTTTAAAATAACAATTGTTGTAACAAATAGCTTATATAATAGTGTTCCAACCAGTACAGCCAGTCTGAAGAGCTATGGGTTGAGCGAAATATGTCATCAGTAATAGATATGGTGAGCATATCTAATTCTTCAATATCCCTAACGGGTAGATAAAGAAAGCTGTATTAAAAAATAAAATAGGCCTAATTCTAATGTCACATAAGAAATATGATTAATATATAAAGTGTTTTTTGTATAATGACATATTACAGATTTTACAATTGTAGTTTTTTGTATAATGACATATTACAGATTTTACAATTGTAGTTCAATCTTTCAATTCAAATAACTTACTCACTTGTAGAAGGTTGTTTGTATATTAATACTGTTATGACAGCAGAAGTTATGTGATGCTGGAAGCATGCGTGCTGGAGTTTCTAATAGGATCATGACTGTTCCTGGCAACTCTAGTCTTTTCTAGGAGCCCTCTGTTTTAGTATATAAGCCCAGCAAATAAAGTGGAGATATAATTGTAGACAGACATATAGAGACAGATAATTGAGTCAAGTGAGAGGTAGTGACCGTAAGTAAAGTGTGTGAATCGTTGGGAATTATAGCGTGTGTTTAAGTTAAAGTGACTTTGGAAATTCTGTGTATTGCAAAGTTATATTGAGAAAGAACTAGTTTTATTTAAGAAGGACTTGTATCGCTGAAATTCCCCGGGAAGAATTTTTACGGGAAATTATCAAACAAGCAAATACGTAACAAATTGGTGTCAGAAAGTGGGACTTAAAAAAAAAATGAAAACAAGAAGTGGCAAATCAAACTACGACTTAGATGGCAGCAATACAAGAACAGCAAAAGAAACAAGAAGAATGAGAAAATAAACAAGAAGAGAGATTACAGCAGTGGTTGGAGGAGAAAGAAAACTAACAAGAAGAGAGGCTATGGAGGAAAAAGAAAAGAAACAAGAAGAACGAGAAAATAAACAAGAAGAGAGACTACAGCAGTGGTTGGAGGAGAAAGAAAACTAACAAGAAAAGAGGCTACAGCAGTTGTTGGAGGAAAAAGAAAAGAAACAAGAAGAACAAGAAAATAAACAAGAAAAGAGACTACAGCAGTGGTTGGAGGAGAAAGAAAAGAAACAAAAAAGAGAGATTACAGCAGTGGTTGGAGAAGAAAGAAAATAAACAAGAACAGAGACTACAGCAGTGGCAACTGGAACAAGAAAGAAAACAGGAAGAAAATCTCCAACAGTTGTGGAAAAGTCAGCAGCAACTACAGGAAAGTCAACAACAGTGGCATGAAGTACAAATGGAAAACATTAGTAAATTTCAATGTGAATTCAATACATTAAAGGATGATTTACTGTCTTTTACACAAGGAAGATATATTAGCTATGGACCTAATCAGCCTCAGACAACAGGAAGCCCCTTCCAGACCACACAGCTAAACCCTAATGCAGACATCTTCAGTCCTGTCAGAAGTCACATTCCAGACACAAGTGTCAGCAATAGGGGTGATTTAGTACGAAGGAAACAATAGGAATTCGATGGGAATGCACCATGGGAAGAATATAGAGCACAATTTGAGCTACTGGCAGAGATGAATGGATGGACAGAGGAGCAGAAAGCAGCATACCTCGCAACGAGCTTAAAGGAACAGCCACTGCAAATACTTGGACAGTTGTCAGCAGATGACAGGCACAACTAGAGAGCACTGGAAGCTGCTTTTGAACTCTAGTCCTCAAGCTGTAGCTGAGGGATCAGTTTGTAGACCCCTTGGACAGTCCACAACTGAAGATACAAGTAAAGCAAGCACACCCCTCTACTATGCAGGATGCAATGGCCAGAGCTCTTTGAATTCAAATCTTATGTTAAGTCTAGCACAGAGGTACCAAGGTTGGTACAGTCATCAGGATTCAAGGCCAGGAAAGGTCAGCTTTAAGAGAGGTTTGAGGGACTTTGCTGGCACTGTAACAGACCTGAGCACAAGAAAGCTCAATGCTGGAAACTTCAACACAGGGAAGATGCCACGGCAGGAAAGGCTGCTACCCAGAAAGGTTGTTGGAACTATGGAGAGCAAGGACACATGAGGAGCCAATGTAAAAAGAATACTACCAATAAGTCAGCCTCAGGAAAACCAGTAGTGGTTGGTGTTGAGGAATGCCCACCAACCCCCATCGTGAAAGTCCCAACAGCTGAATGTAAAATGCCAAGCACACATAGTGTCTACATGACAGGAAAGTTGGATGGCAAAAAGTGCAACTTTGTCATAAATTCTGCATCTCAGCAAACCCTTGTGAGTATCAAAGTGCTGGATCACAAAGGAGTACCAGAAGCCATACAGAAGCTCTGTGGTGAGACAGGACATTATGCAAGGTTGTGGGAACCAGTGTGGGTGACTATTGAGTTCATGGGCATAAAGGACAGACACAAAGTACACTTGGCTGACATTGAAGACGAATGCATATTAGGGTTGGACTACTTACTACCGAGGAAGTGTGTAGTTAACTTCGACAAAATGACGTTTGGAAACAACAAAGGCCCAATTCTGGTAAATGTTGAAAGAGAGGTTGAACTAACCAGGTGCCTTCAAGCTGAAGTCAAAGTGACTGAAGGAGTTGAT